AGGTCAGACTGTTAATCGAGCTTTCTCTTCAGAGGTTTTGAAAAGATTGCATAACAGTGTGCGACAGAGGCCTGATTCGTGGCAAACTGAGGACTGTTTTTGCTATCATGACTGTGCACTTGCTCAGACAGCCAGCTCAGTGCGCCAGTTTTTGCCAGAAAACAGCATGCCTCTCTTGACCCACGCACCTGACCTTGCTCCATATGACTTCTTTTTGTTCCCTCGAATGAAGAGGGACATGAAAGGACAGCAATTTGACAGTGTAGAAGAAATGAGGTGCTGTCAGCCATCCAAACAGATGAGCTTCAGAAATGTGTCCAAGATGGAACCACAGATTTGACAAATGTACTAGGTGTGGTGGAGAGTACTTCAGAGGTGATATGGTTGTTTTGTTAAAAATGTTAAATACATAATTTTGGTGAAAAAATTCTGTTTTGGGAGTGGTTGCCCCCTCGTATGTAGGTCATAAAAGATTTATCCCTATTCTTGGTTGTATACTGGACATTTCTGTTCGCTAGGCCAGAGTCATCAAGGGAGTCCTTCAGTTTAACTCAGAGGAGTCCCGGTGACAGTGAGTTACACATCAGATTGCTAACCTCAAAGTCAGCAGGTGGGAACCACCAGACCCTCCTCGGGACGCTGACAGGGCTTCCAGTTACGGTCTCGGGAACTTACAGAGGCAGTTCTGCTCTGTCCTGTACAGTCTGAGTTGGAATCCGCTCAATAGCAATGGGTCAGTCAGTCAATTTAACTGGCTTCTCTACGAGTACTTTTCATTGTGCTTAGCATTTCTTTAAGGATTTAAGCTGGCCTTTCGTAGACCTGTAGGAACCTTTGCCATATAGAAATTTAGACTTGTATGGTTTTTCGTGTGATCATTAACTGGGTAAGTACACCAATGCTTTTGATTATATTGGTCAAATGCCACCTAACTTTTAATGTACCGTTTTGTTTGTTTTTAAGCTCTCTATGAAAAAGCAGATATTAAGGTGCCTGAAGACAAGAAGAAACACCTCCTTATTGGTGTCTCCTCTGACCGAGGCCTTTGTGGTGCTATTCATTCCTCAGTTGCTAAACAGATCAAAAGTGAGGTGGCCTCACTCACCGCAGCCGGCAAAGAAGTGATGCTTGTTGGTATTGGTGATAAAATCAGAGGCATACTTTATAGGTAATGTAAATACATGTTGTTTATAGTCTAAAAGGTGCGTGCATGAAGAAAGGGAAGTGGCTGACAGTTATTTAAGCAGGGTGTCTTTTGTTTGTTACTGTTTTATATTCACGGCGTAGTTTGTGTCCTTCGTAGAATATAGAATTTTCCCTTCTCCTGTCTTTTGCTTCCCATTGAATCGGTGAGAATATAAAAACAAGGAGCATGAATCCAAATGAGAACTTTAAGGAACAATCATAGCCTAGAAAAAAGTGGAAGGAGGGAAATAAAGACAAAGAACTTGTTTTAGTCCTCAGCTTGCAAGTGCTGCTCAAGAAGGGAACAAGCACAGCAGTGCCTGGGACAGCTGCTCTCAGAGAGCACACACGCTCCCTGCCCTTCCCCCTTCACTGTGTCACGTCACGTGATCTGCGGTTTTCTCCTAGGACTCACTCTGACCAGTTTCTGGTGACATTCAAAGAAGTGGGAAGGAAGCCCCCGACTTTTGGAGATGCATCTGTTATTGCCCTCGAATTACTAAATTCTGGATATGAATTTGATGAAGGATCTATCATTTTTAATCGATTCAGGCAAGATAGATTTTTTAAATGATTTTTTTAATATTCATGAACTGAACCGTTCCTTTGAAAATAAGCAGATGTCTACTTAGAAGTTTAAAACTTATCTTGAAAATTACATTTGCTTTTGTCATTTCCAGGTCTGTCATCTCCTACAAGACAGATGAGAAGCCCATATTTTCCCTTAATACCATTGCAAGTGCAGGTAAGTGGTTTTTGAGTATTTCTGTTAAAGAGGAGAGATTTGTACAATAACAAGTAGCTCTAGAATAGAGATTTGAACCATGCTGGAACCTGATTTATCTTGACCCACTCAGTTATCTTGTTTTAATATTTGAATAAAGTCATCATTGCTGACTGAAGCATCCAAAATAACATTGTGGAACAGATTTCTAAGAATGTCCCTTCTTTATACCATATTTCATCTGTCTTAACATATACAGACTAACAAGACCCATTCCCATGCCTTTAAGAATTTATTGGTCAGTCAGAATAAGTGCACAGAATTCTATTGCCTTACCTTGCTGTGAGGAAAGACTCAGCGCCTTTCCATAATTTAAAAGCTTCGGGTACAGCAAGTAAAGGTGATTATTGTGATTTCATTGTTTTTCAAAGTGATGGCAAATTTACGTAACCTAAAAGCAAGGATCCAAAGATGGTAGTTCCTTGTTCAAAGTGGTGGCTGACCACAGATTTGAATGTATGTGGCTCGCCAGAGTCCTGCCAATAATCCT